TATATATATATATAAAACAAAGAATCTGATGTTGAATTTTTAATATGTATTAAATTGTGTAAATTAATCAAACAAATCACCAAGTATGATGCAAGGATAAAGGTTCATGAATAGCATAATGCAAGGATTGATGATTATTTTAGGATATGACAGTTTAATCCTAAATAGTCTGATGCTGATCAAAATGAATTATTACCCAACCTGGAGAACTTTCTTGAGGTTTACTCCTGCTCAGCATCCAACAAATGACCAGTTGTCCTCATATTATGCCTGAGTTTTCTAAATACAGGTCCATAGAGAGTCTTCTAGTTTGATATTGGGTGGAGGAGATCTTTGAGATGACATACTGAGAATGATAAAAGATCAACAACACGTGTTCTGGATTGAGCAGTTCTGCTGTATATAGTCAACCTGCGATGAGGTGATGGCGTCAGATTCTGAAGTAAGCATGTGAAACATAAAAGCTCCCAAATAAAAGAGTGCACAGGTGGAAAGCCAGAGACTGAAAATTCAAAATGGTCCCATTTGAGCCTGTGAATGTAGTGTCAGCTAATGGTGTGTTTATGGTTGATTTTGTATGTTCTGAAGTCTGGTAATGACATTTAGACCATTAGATGAACTTAGAGACACTAAATGACTGATAATAATAAATTCAAGTCTGTTTAGTATTGCTGACAGCTGATTTTATTCATGAAAAGTCATGTTTTCGACATATACACACTTCATTCTACTGTAAAACATTCATATTATCTCCACATTGTCACTGTTTTAGTGCAACATAATTCATTCCAGAAAAGCTTGATTTAGTTTCACATTAAAGGGTTGCTCGGCATGACTGAAAGAGTAGTGAATCCTCTTTATATTGCGATTCCATTTCTTCTCAGTTTTAGTTCTCACACCATAACATATTTGAAACTAGAAGCTTGATCACATTTGAATAACCCAAGTTAAAACAAATAATAAACTAATTGGATAAAAGAACAAACCCGATCTTAGCATTTATGCAAAGTGATGGAAAACAGAAGAGAGTTTGCACTGAACCTCATAGTAAGTACTGCAATAAACACTAAGAATACAGTTCTTTTTAATCAAGCGAATATTTGTGTGTGATAGAAGGTCAAAGGTGATCACATGCTGTCTGTGGTCAGATGAGGACACAACAGGACTCTGTAAAAACAATGAGGACATACTGTAGCATTCCCACACCTTTTGACCAATGGATTTCTGTGTCTGTTCCTGTTGTTTGTGATCAATGTTTTGAAAAATTATTTTATTGGAAATTGAGCTCACAAAGAGCAATTTCTAGGCAATGAAATATATTCAAGCCGAGTATAACTAATACATTTCACATTCACTATAGAATAGTCCAATTTATATTCTCCAGGTTGTCCATGATTGTGGGACCCTGATACTATTTTCATTTCTCTCACATTGCCTAGCAGCTTGTAAGTTTGTTTGTTGTATTGTGAATATGATTTATATGATTTTTTTTTTTTTTTTGTGGATGTGAATCACTCAATTGTCCATTAGATAAATGAACACCTAAACAAAAACAAACAAACAAACAAAGAATAGAAGAAGCACTGACTCTGTGACTCTATGTTCACCAAACAGGATGCAAACTGTTCAAAAATAAATCCAAATAATACAAACTATGCAAGTAATTTAACAGTGTCTCTAATCAAATCAAGATCAACACCTGTTCATAGTCTTCAAATCAAATTCATAACATTTTTAGACACAAATCAACATGTGTAAATGGAGATAAGTTGAAGAACACTGATCAGTCATTAAAAATCTCAGATTTTAATATATTACATAAATAAATCTTAATATAGTTTATATATATATTTTGTATTATTTAGATAAATAATATTATTTTTAATTGAGCAAAGATTATGATTTTATGGTCATGATTATGATAATCATGACCATAAAATGATTCTTATTCATGGGGAATAAATTAATCTTACAGCAAAAACTTTCAAATAACATACTTAAGATTCTCATAAACATTCAGTGCAGCAGCCAACATGTTTTACAACATATTCTAGTCCCTTCAGAAAAAAAAATGCCACTTTCCGGAGACATTTCCGTTCCATCCATTGATCAATAGGTATTTTTCCAGGCACATCTTGAACCAGCTGATCTCTGCATGAGGACAATTAGCGCTAGAGTACAGAATTGAGTTCACTCTGCAATTTGGCCATTATACCGTTCTCTTGCATTCACAGGGACTGAGTTTTCTCCTAAAACCATACGCTATGAAGAGGAATTTGTACTGATGCATGCGTATGCTACACTGAAATCTGCAATATATAATACATTCCCGGTGTTAAACACAAAGACCGCAACATATCAAAAGTTGAGTTTGTTAGGTGTCAGGGAAAGCCAAACCATATGAGCTTCAATGCACTGGGAATTCTTGCAAAAAGTCACTCCCTAAAGCTGTGAGGCCTTTCAATATTACAATAAAATCAGTCCACTTTAGTAAAAGACAAAAAGCCTCTTGTCTGACGGCACTAGAGTAAGAACTAGAGTGCTCAACATGATTTCAGTCAATAGTTTTCATATACACTGATAATCACTACAGTATAACAACTAGCAGTAATAAAAGTATTACTTATGCCATAAAAACTAGTTCAAAAAAAGATATACACCATTTTCCACAAATCTCAAGGCCCTGGTTCACAATTGGAAGACACCACAAAAAAATACACATTGACATGACATTTTCTGCGTCAAGTGATGGACTAGATCGCTGTCTTCTTGATCTTTGTATATGAAATACAGTCACTCTTCTCAACCACGATGGGTCCAAAGTTCCTGACCATTCGCTAGAGATCCAATGCTAAAATTGGTTTGTCAAAAAGTCATAAGAAAAAAAGTGTTGGATGGGAGAGCTTAAAGTAAGGACATCGTCCTGGACAAAAACACAACTGCACTGTGCATGCTGGCTAACGGAGGTAAATGTGCTGAAATCCATTACGCTTTTAGATGAGAGGTTTTGTGTGTGTGTGTGTGTTTCTTGTCTCAGAACTGACCTCAGGTGTTGAGACCAAAAGATCCTGTGCTTGATATTCTAACACAAACCATATGTTAACCGGCCCCCTAAGGGCCCACCGAGGGCAGCTTAGAGGTGCTGGGATGTCCTGAGGCTGTGTCTCTCTCTGTCCTTATCCTGGAGAACCCCGGAGCCGTCTTCTCATCTCTCTGGAGGACGTCCTGTGCTGGAGCTCACTGAGAGATGGGTGCTGCAGGGGTGCCGGGTGTTGAGGGGGTAGTTGGGGTTTGTGGAGTGCTTTGGTAGGAACGTAGAAGGACTTTGTGCTTTGTTACCACCTCGGCCCTGACCTGCTGCTGCTGCTCCAGGAACTCCTTGAGGCGTGTGGTGGTAAATGTGAGAGTCTGTCTCCGCAGTCTCATTAGATAAGCGTCCTGCAGCCAAGAGTTGTTAAAGCAGTCCTTAATGGTAGGACGGGCCCTGAAACACATCGTGCACACAAGAATCAGTTAACATGTTACAGTTAACAAGACACATTGCCTGGCCCATACTGAAAGCTAGATGACTGAAATGTGAAAGGCGCCACAAACATCACACCAAACAGAATAATTATAATGGACAAATAATACATTTTAAAACAGAATTATAATCTAAAAATATAGTTTAAAAAAATCATATAATTTATAAATTACCATAATTCTCAACGGTGAATTATGGTATATATACATAATTATATACTTTATATACATTATATATACTTTATAATATTAATTAATTTAGAAAATACCATAATTCTCAATTGTCATTCTAATTAGAAATTACCTACTGTTATGAATTATTAAAAAAAAAAAACAATTTTATAAAACTTTTCTTTATTATAGTCAGTATAAAAAGTACAACCAACACTTCTATGATGCATAAATACTTAAAATGCTTATAAATATTTAAATAATATATATTATTATGCATTATTGTAATGAAAATGAAAATTCTGGCATATATATATATATATATATACACAACGTATATAAAATCTTAAAGTGATTTAAAAACCACCATAATTCTTAATCATGATTCTGATTAGATCCTCACTTGCAATTATAGATCATTTTTCACTCTTTTCAATAAAACTATGGTGGTATAATGTTTGTTTTAATTCAAATCAGTATAATATAGTATAACCAACACTACTACGATGCATGTATAAATATATTTATAATATTAAAACATATTGAATGACCACAATAATCAAACTTATTCAAACTTGAATAATTTTTCACTTTATTCAATAAAAACAGATATCAGTATAAAAATGTATGACCAACTCTACTATGGCGTATAAATAATTTAAAATGTAAATAATATATATTTTTGTGCATTACTATAATGAAAATTTGATTTTTTTATTATGCTCATTAGAAAAAAACAAAAAACGTTCTCTTTAAAAAAGGTTATTTTCACTATGTAAAATAAAATGCCTTCCTTTCAATTTTGGATGAAATGTGACCCAGACATGACAGGTGCCTTGACAGGTTTCTTGAGATTTACCCAGATGAATATTTTTTAAAGCACTATTTTTTTTAAACTCACCAAGGGTAGCTGCACAGGATCTTCTTGAGGAACAGAGAGGCACTTTGGGACACATTTTGGTAGAGCTTACTAAGTTCAAACTTGGCTGCCTGAATTCTGGCCTCTGTCTCAGCAGGGTCATTCTCAGTAAACGGCAGTCTCCCGCTGAGCCTGAATGGTGTATGGCATGACAAAAGCTTCGTGTTACACACTAGAATAGAATTCATGTCAAACATAATCACAGGCACTGACAGCTCACAAGCTCCAGAGAGCTTCTGGAATGTCAAAAACGCAAGAGACAAAACACAAATCGTAACAATACAAATACTCCCGCTGACATAAGATAGAAAACTGGACATTAAAAGTCAACATGAAATCAAAACAGACCCCATTTCCTTTCAAAGACAGAGCTGCAGTGGACAACACTCACATGATATAAGTCAATATGCCAACGCTCCAGATGTCAGCCGGTGGACCCACCACATCTCCTTTCAACATCTCAGGAGCTTTCAGTAATCAGCAGAGATTAAAACATATTAGGAAGTGTGAAGAAATGCACAATTACTTACAATAAATACATAATTAAAATATTAAACGAGAAGGAATAGGAATATAACAAAGAACTAAAATTCAATGTTTTACTTAAAAAGCTCTTGAGATTTTTTAGATTAGCAAGAAAATGTTAAAATATATGAAACAATATTTGAAAAATTGTCTTACACATGTAATCCAGTGTTCCAATAGGTGGGGAGAACTGCTTCAGGAACAGTGGATTGAAGGTGTGTGCACTACCAAAATCAATTATCTTAACCACATTCATGTAAGTTACAATGATATTGTCTGGTTTGATATCCAGATGCAGGATTCTCCGGCTGTGCAGGTAGTCCAGACCCTGAAGTATCTGTACAACATACGCCACCACGTCATCCTCGGAGTATCGGAACCTAGAAAGCGAGATAAAAGATAAGAACATCACAACCAGAGGTATACATCATAAACTTCATGCTGGTGGAGAAACTTATAATAATATTAAAAAAAAAAAAAAAAGTTTAATTATCATTAATCATTTATTATAACATTTTTAAATACTAAAGGGATAGCTCACCAAAAAATGAAAATTCTGTCACTCATAGAAAAGAAGATATTTTGAAAAAAACGTGATACGCCACCACGTCATCCTCGGAGTATCGGAACCTAGAAAGCGAGATAAAAGATAAGAACATCACAACCAGAGGTATACATCATAAACTTCATGCTGGTGGAGAAACTTATAATAATATTAAAAAAAAAAAAAAAAGTTTAATTATCATTAATCATTTATTATAACATTTTTAAATACTAAAGGGATAGCTCACCAAAAAATGAAAATTCTGTCACTCATAGAAAAGAAGATATTTTGAAAAAAACGTGAGTAACATGATCCCCACTGACTACTATGAATACTATGGAAGTCAATGGGGACCAGAAACTGTTTGGTTACCAATGTTCTTCAAAATATCTTCTTTAGTGTTCAGCAGAAGAAGAAAAAAAAACTCATACAAGTTTGGAACAACTTGAGAGCAGGGCCTGAATTTTGTTTTGGAAAATGGGGGGAATTCCCCTTAGGTGACTATTTTTTATGGGGGGATATTTTTAATTTGAGGGGGGAGTTGGGGTATTTTTTAGACATATTTTTACATTTACAGTTTTTCAGGTAGGTCTAACAGAAATATTCAGGTACAGAAATTGTCCGCGGATACTTCTGATGATGAAAAGTGCGCCATGTGGGCTGTCGCGGAACACAGACGGGCAAAGTATACTTTAGGCTTTAGGCTGCTGTCTCTTTAAGGCCTCATGCACAGATCTACTACACTGTTACACAACTGTTTACATATATACCGACCATGTTTAATAAAAAACGTCTGTGTTTACATGAATACTTGCCAAGATGGGCATTCTGACATAATTTTGCATTCAGTTGGCCTTTTTATGTGCAATAAGGCACAAAAAATGACTCAATTCTGTAGTCGCGCACTGTTTCAGAGGTGGCTTTATGTGCGCGTGCTTTGGGTGTGAGCGCGCAGCAAGAGTCTCTCAGAGAGCACGCGAGAACTGAATTGAGTTCTCTTTCGCTTGCATGGTTTAAATGGGTGGTTCACTGTTTTTTTTCTAGGCTTGATTGTGTTTATGGGCATTATCTGGGAGTGACGCTCAGTGACACGCTGCCAAGATGGCGACGGCCCGCTCCGCCCACTTTTGAGCTTCAAAAACGCTCTTCGGAAATCTAC